CCTCTCTAGATAGACATCCAAACGCGACCGGCCCGGTGCTACCTGAAAGTACCCGAGAGATCCAGTAGCGGCATCCACGAAATTTCGATATCGGCAGTCTTGTCATTCCAATTGCTGCTCAATTGAACAATTTCGCCGACGGCGCCCCCAACTTGTTATACTCCAGATGCCCGGCGGCACTCTTTCAATGTGCCAATGGTCTGATGGTGCGACTTGGGTCGCGGGGGAATCATCCCTTTTGATATCGGTATCGCCACTAGAAACCAGAGATCCCTGAAATATCTCCCAGTCAGGGGGAGGAATTGGCTAGGCTGGCCATTCAAGTGCCGGACACTTATCCGGGAATGTCACTGAACCCAGTCGCTGGGCACCCTTACTAAGGTTAAGCTCATGATCCAGCGCTACTCCAAGTCTGGTAATAAAACTGCACGCAATACATGAAAGCGATGAAGGTATCGAGCCGGAGCCGGTTGTGGTTTCGATGCCGTTACGTACTCTGAACATGCGAATCTTCCTCCCCGCAAAGTTGATGGAGCAGAGAGTCAGCGGAGAGATCGATTGTGGTCCTGAAGACGGAGTTTGGGTGCCGGTTAGATCCACTGATTGCATGGGCGTGAAGAAAATCTTACGCAAGAGCTTGACCACGCTTTGCGGGGGAACAGGCCGCCGGCTCTTAGCTCTTGGGGTGATTTGCTTAGTAACAAGCACTACAAAAGCGAGCGTAAAGGGGCCTGGGATAGGATCTGGACGATTTAGCAAAACACGTCGAAGATATAAAAGCTCTATCATGGATGGCGTGACTTCCAGTAATGAGAGTCCAAGAACGCCGATACCTAAGACTAAGTACATTCGGGCTTCTGGTTGCTAGGCCCACCATGTGAAAACCCTAGCTCCCGCTCACTTGGTATCTTATCGTTGATGAGTGGGTAGAAACCACGGTTGACATGACGGCCGCAACCTGCGTCAAGATAAATAGGTTCAGGAGGGTAGAATGAGGAAAAATATGGAATGCGGTGCAAGAGTGTTACAAGTGCTAAACAAGCTTGGTGAAGAAATCATGTACACTATGCTTGAACCTCGGACTCTCGGACTTCCACATAGCGAAAAACCCGCGCTGTCGTTTAGGCTTAAGGCATCAGGACCGGCAGCCAAGCTGCGCCAATTGCCAAGTTGTACGAGCGTAGCACCAGCCGCATTTCAGCCTTGGCTTAACACTCTACTTTGGTAATGATGTCAATATCTGACGCATGCACTTATGAGTCTTCTGTGATTAACCGGCGCCCGAAGGCGCCGTCTGCCGAACAGCAAGACCCGATAAAGACTCCACATCGGCATGAGTGGGATCAATACCCGGGGGCGGCTTCCTGCACAGTACCGCGAAGGTTCAAAATTCCCCGTTCGGCTTCATGAACCCAATATTCTTATTTTCCGTAACATTGACGGCTATGCAGATCCCGCAATGTCACTGTAACGGCTCCCACACTTTGCCTTTAAACACACGACACCGCATCGCCGTAGAAAATAACAAGTCAAAGCTGACAGCGGTGAGTTAGAGCTCGGTAAACGTGTTAATACCGCTTCTTTTTGGACAGAGTAGTACGCCAGTGGCTAAGTTGTCGGTCGCTATGGCCCATACTTCAACTGCCTACAGGCATTACGTTACAAGTACTAGTGTCGGATTGGAAGTCCAATTCGACCTCGGCGTACGGCCGGCCGCGCAGTGGCCAATTACGGCCCATACTTCCGATTATCGCGGCCTGCCCAACCTACGGTTGGAACCTCCCTTTTACACACGCAGAAATTCATATAGTTCAATTGATCTCTTCGTCAACCCACGGTTCGAACCAAATATCCTGTGATACGGATACCAACAACTAGAAACAATCACTGACCTTCGAAGTGAGATCCGCTTCCAGGTCAAGTATCTCTAATGCTGTCCAGGAAGGCGTAGAGCCTGAGATATTGTAACACAAGCATTCTGTAGTTATATGTACCTGTATTGATTCAAATCCCGACGGAGTGCACCAAAATCATTGAATCCTGTGCCTAGTTCTTATCTGTAATTGAGATCAGTGGGACGGTGAACAGAGGCCATACACTCCAAAATCAACCATGCAGGCAGTAAGAATTTTTCCCAGATTCTGTAGAACTGCGTGTATAAGGTAGCATTTGGAAGTAACACACTCGCTTATTGGAAGCCTGGGAAGCTGCTTTTGGAGCAAGCTCTCGGAGTGAGCAGTATGCTCATACAGCCTACCAAACCCATGAAAAGACTTACCGGTGGAAATTTAGATATTGGATTGTGGCATACATGGACACTAAGCAGTGCTGACAGTAGACTTAACGGCGCGTGCCAACATTTCCTCGAGTTCGTATGAAACCTGCACTCTCCCGCCGGCTACCGAACTGAGACACGGAGTATCTATGAATCCACTGAAGTCCACCAAGATAAGAAATGCTTGAGACTCGAGGTTCTAGAAACTGAATGACGCGCTCGCTACTTGGCATGGAGGACTCGGTGCGTGCCGAGAGTCCGCCTCGAAGTGGGCGGTGTCGATCTGCGCCAGTCCGGTTCACGGATCCACCCAGTCCACGACGTGCTTCATCGTCTAAGCTAGCGCCTGGTAGCAAGATGTTCATGCTGCACCAAGGTCTTATTTAAGGTCTATTAAAATTTCCAAAGGTGTCTTCATGAATCAACTACAGCCAGTTCTCAACTTTTAAGCATTTGTAAAGACGAACCTGCAACCTTCATCGCTTCAAAGACGGCCAGAGCTCGAAGTCAATTTTGCGTTCTTTTCTCCTTGAAGTACTTTTGGTATCCCTTCTGCCTAACCTCAAGTATTTAGACCCCAAGCTCGAAGAAAAATGGGTTCCCTACTACCCACGACGATTCGCATCGATGCTTCGTTGTTGAATTGGCATCATCTGTCTTCAACAGCAAGCTTTTTGCTACTCTCATCGCTGCTTTTGGGGATACTGTCACAAGTCCTGAGCCGGAGACTGAAAGTACCTACGCCGCTTTCGGAAGAGGTGTCCGATATTCTCAACAGAAAACGGTCATACGGGGCAAACGCCAGGAAATTACTCGACAAGTACTATGAGCGGGTAAGTAGACTTACAGAACAGTTGCAGTGCGTCTCACAGCTAATGCGCTGGTCAGTTCAAAAGCAAGCCTTTTGGAATCGACACCATGGATGGTATGTCTACTTTTTGCAGAACTGGAGAAAAAGTTTTTGACTTTGTGTAGGTGTCAAAGTCGTCTTGCCCCTTGCAAGTGTCGATGAGCTGAAGAGTCACCCGGCATTGAGCTTCAAAGCCTCGATCGACAATGTAAGTTCATTTCATTATCAATAAGTCATGATGTATGCTGACATTGCTTTCTAGGATGCCTTGGTCAACTACACAGGCATTGGAGGTGTCGACGCTTGGGGGGTACATCAGATTCTAGCAAAGATGAACCCCAGCTTGGGTTTGTTGAATTCTTTATAATCTTCCAGGAGCGCAATTCTAACCAAGGCAAAAGGTGCTTACGTTCCTGTCTTCCATGGAATGATCCAAGAACACCTTCCGAAATTTCTTGGATCTCCGACAGGTGAGATCCATGGTCCTATCATACATCACTTTGCCTAATTTTCTTCCAGATTGGACACCAGTAAAACCCTATCAGCACTTCTTCGAGCTTGTGGCGATCCTGTCTGCGAGAATCATGCATAGCGATGAAGCAGCCCGAAATCCCGCATGGACCAATCTCTCAATGTCATTCGTACACACTGCAATCGAATACGGCTCGGCTCTCAAGCAGTGGCCTCCTTTCCTGCGTCCGTTCGTCACCTACTTCCTCCCGGAACGCCTAGAGAAGGAGAAACAATGGGCCAAAGGGCGCGAAATCGTCGCAAAGTCCATGGCCAGGAAAAGTGCCTTGGGTGGTGCACCTCTGGAGAACCCTCCCACCATGCTCGATCACCTGTCTAGCGGGGAACACGCAGATAAGGCCGGTGACCTGGACCTACAACTCTTGCTGCAGATGACTCTCGCCGTGGCGAGCATCCACACAACCTCGTCTTCCATGGTCCAAGTTTTGTACGATCTTGCCGCATGCCCTGAGTACACCGAGGAGCTTCGTCAGGAGGTGGTGGAGGTTTTGGAGAGTTCTGGTGGCATCTTTACCAAGCAGTCACTTGCTAAGATGAAGAAGCTTGACAGCTGGATGAAGGAGAGTTTGAGAATGAATGCACCTGATCTGAGTAAGTCGGCGTCTTCCCACCAGAATCAAGTTCGGTTTCTTACGAGTTCGAAGCTACCTTCCAGCGCATGGCCACGAAGCCTGTGACCCTAAAAGACGGAACTTACATCCCTGCCGGTACGAAGATGGAACTACCAACCAGCGCTATCAACTTTGACGCTTCCATCTACCCCGATCCGCATAAGTTCGATGGCATGCGGTCGTACCGTCAACGCCAGCAAGACGGGATGGCACACAAGCACTCATTTGTCAGCGTCACTCGTACGGAACTTGGTTGGGGTTTCGGCAGGCATGCGTGCCCGGGCAGATTCCTTTCCGATGTCGAAATTAAGCTCATGTTTGCGGAGTTCCTTCTGAACTATGAGATCAAAAACTTAGATGGACAGCCCCGATCCAAGAATGTGGAATTTGGAGTGAACGTGCTCCCAGATCCGGAGCATCAGGTTTTGATTCGAGCACGGAAAGTCTGAGATCATTAGGGTGCTTTCTAAGAATGCGACCTGAGCTTATCTGCACCGACATCATCGGCAGCTTTTCGACTTTCATCTGTATTAGAGCCCGGCATGGAAATCATAATTTGTAGAGTAGCGTAATAGAATTAGCGTTGGGAGATCCCATATCACAGGAAATGTCTTCCAATTTCAAGCTCAGGAAGATTGGACTTCGGGTTGTAACCGCTTGTCTGTGGCAGATTCTACATGCCTCTTAACTAGTGGGTTTCTCAACAGACTCTTGAGTTGGAAGGATCGTGCTGCTACTGCGAGGCTTGCAGATGTTGTCTGAAGAATTTCTCCTGCCGCCGCAGAGCATACTTGGTCCTGCCTGAACAATGATAAGCTCCAGGCATGTAGAGTAACTCAAAGTCCTTGTCTGCATCATTCAAAGCATTCACCAACTGCAGAGTCGACGCGGGATCAACGTTGTCGTCCATCTCTGCAACGATTAGTAACAGCGCTCCCGTCAATTTGCTAGCATGGACCACATTCGATGAATCCTCGTATGCCTTGTCGACTGGATAACCCATCCACTGCTCGCTCCACCATATCTTGTCCATTCTGTTATCGTGGCATCCACAATCGGCGACGGCTGCTTTATAGAAATCGCCATGAAACAGAAGTGCCCCCACGGCATTCTGTCCGCCTGCCGATCCCCCAAAGATCCCAACTCTGTTCGTGTCCATCCATGGCCGAGTCTCTGCTGCAGCTTTGATCCAGGCTATGCGGTCAGGGAACCCGGCATCCTTGAGATTTTTCCAACTAACGTCTTGGAACTTTTTTGATCGCCAATTCGTTCCCATGCCATCAATTTGAACGACAACATACCCCTGTTCTGCCCACTGTCGGCGCGAACGCAGGGCACTGAATTCCTTTGGTACGTGAAACCCATGCGGGCCTGCGTAGACGGATTCTAGAATGGGGTACTTTTTCTTGGGATCAAAATCTTGAGGGCGAACAATCATACCGTAGATAGACTCTTCGCCGTCCCGCCCAGGGCAGTTAAATCTTTCAGGTACTACCCAGCCGTCTGATTCTAAACGATGAGAATCCCCTTCGTCACCTTCGAGATGTACGACCAGCTCTCCAGTTTCCATCTTTCGCAGAGTGGTGCGTGGGGGCGAATCCACCCGCGACCATGTGTCGAAAAAGTATCCTTGCCCCGGAGAGATTGTCCAGTGGTGTGTGCCATCTCCATCGGTCAGCACTTTGAATCCCGTCCCATCGAAGTTGACGCGAGCCAAGTGCGTATAGTACGGATCTTGATCAGGGACTACTCCGCAAGCTGAGAACCAAACCACTCTCGCTTCCTCGTCGAAACGAACGAACTCTTTCACATTCCATTTTCCTGTTGTCATCTGACATTTCAACTTCCCTGATTGAAGATCGAAAAGGTAAAGGTGGTTGAAGCCGTCTCGTTCGCTAGCCCAAATGAGTTCATCGGTATCTTTTATCAAACGTCGATTGAGCTTCGTGGAGTAGTCAATGAATGTGTTACTGCTCTCTTCAACTAGAGCCCTAACAAAGCCGTCTGAGTTGATTCCTATGACACGTAGACGTTGATGGCCACGCTCGTTGTATATGAAGCGATATTCCGAAGAATCACGGCTCCATCCTATGTTCCGAAGTTCGTAGGGGCTCTGAAACAAAGTAGCGTCTGTAACGACCTCTTTCTTCGTTTCTAGGTTAAACAAACGAGGACGATCAACTCTGACGCGATCTCCAGCCTTCAGGTACCGGATGCTTTTAGGCTTCGGCTCAAGCTGATCTTTCGGAACAGAGTCGCGAAGGTGCACTTTGTGCTCTTCCTCAGGGACGAATTGCCAGGCGACACAAAACTTCTTGTCTGAAGATATCCAGATGTTTGAATCATCATACTGATTGTCTTCGGCGCCGTTGTCTGAAAGACGAACCTCTTCCTTGTCTGCATTCCGGCACCAAAGGTCAAAACCTCGCACAAAGAGGTGGGGCGGGCCCTTCTCGCTCAAGTCTGACTTTGGGCTTGTTTCCTCGCCATCTCTCTCTTTAACACCGTCTTCTGAGTCCCGAGGACCGAGCTCATCCATCGTGTTTTCATCAATGATCACAGAGGAGACAATCTCTTCGGGTGTGGTGTAGATTGCCTTAACAGTCTCCGACTCATCGACAAATTTCCAGACATGGCCGGCATAAGTTCTTTGAGTGCTGCTTAACCCACTTCCAATCCCTCCATAAAGCACTGGCTTGCCTTCCCAGTCTATCCAATACTTCTTCAAGTCTGCCTTGCTGTTGTTGACAAAAGTGATAGTGACGGAGTGGTTCGAGTGCACAGATGCACGTTCTTTGGAGATGAATGGCGTCGTAGGCAGATTGAGCGCACCCTCCCATTCACTGAGGTTTGCTTCAGTGTCAAAACGCCATTTCTTTCCCTCATAGAGAAATCGGACGGAGGATGACTCGGCTTCAAGGTCGATCCATGTGAAGGGCAGCTTGAAAGCGTCGATTTCTCCATCTTTTTGGTCGGTTCCCTCTTGAAGCGCCTTTGCTAGCTTGTCATGGTCAAAAGCTGGACGTCGCTGCTTCTCTATGGCGTCAACATATATGAAGACGAATTTACCGGCTGGGAGGTTCTGGCGATACCAGAAGGTGTTACCCTCGGACACCCAGTGTGGGGAGACTCTGGCTTGTTGGATGTAGTCATCTTCCATGGCGATTCGCTCGCTGAAACAAAGCTTGGATGAACGTAGATAGCAGGATATCGAACACTCGTCTGTTGAAAGAGGAGAATAAGGAGGGGTCGGCACAGCTCAGAAGGAGGTTGAGAAATGCAAGACTTTAGGCAGCACTAAGTGGTCATTGGTGCAGTTGGCAACTGCGCGAGGTAAGGTAGCTGCAGGCGACAAGACGCGGTGCCAGCTTACGCCGCAATTGATCAGCTCTTTTTGAGTCAGCATGGCAAGCATGGATACAACGCCTATTATTACTCTTATAGATAAAATAGTGAGGGGTAGGAAAACTTGGACCGACGGGATAAACGAACGATTGGAACAATGTTACCACGGAGTAAGAGACACTGTAGTAATTCTTTGGTAATTCAATCCTCCTCTTCGGTGGCCAGTCAACATGACTCGCCTCGAACGCTATGTGCTCACAAATGCCATGGTAGAGCGCGTGTTTATTTGGCAGGACGTCTCAGTTGCTTCTCGGAATTCTAGATCATCGTGAATATGTACTGTTCGTTGAATTGTTCTTAGGGTGTTGTTTTAGCGTACAAGCCTCGCAACTCAAAGCATCGGACGCCCTTCCGTTGATCAATCGGCACGTGGCCAGACACCAGACGAGGTCGAGGGACAGGAACCCCGCAATTAGTTGATAAATCCTATTCAACCGCGGGCTAGCTTCACTGAGCATTGCACACTCATTCGCATACAATCCATATCACGATTATCGGAGCCATGGGATTTCGGCAGCATGTTGGAGGGGAAAGTTCAAAGAGGTGCTGCTGAGTCTACTGTGGAAGTGCCCCCAAAGCAACTCAAGGGTGCGTCAATTGCTCGTCCCCTCCTTCGGTCGATCGCCAATGCCCTGTGCTGATTAGCCCCCCAGGCTGCGCCAACTGTGAGCGTCGTCGAATTCGCTGCGATCGACGGCGACCCCATTGCGCCAAGTGTGACAAGAAAGGACTTCCATGTCCTGGCTTTGACCGCCGACTTCGATGGGTGGAAGGGGTTGCCGCAAGGGGACACCTGCGGGGCCGAACCGTCCCAACGAGGCCGTCTTCTGAAGATAAGGCCGCATTTCGAGAAGAGGACTCGAAAGACATCTTCACTGAAAGATCCCAGCTAGACAAAAGTAAAGACTTCATGAGTTCGGTTGTCGTTCTGAATGCGCCAATCGCTCAAGCAACTCGACCTTGCAAGTATCCCGACTCCCTGACAAGCGTGTTCATGGACTATTATAGACTGAACTTAGCCGGTCTGATGGTATGGATGGACTCAGACGAAAACCATTACCGAACACAGGTTGTTCCTCTAGCCGCGAATCAACCAGCAGTCGGCTTCGCCATCATGGCGTTCGCGGCTCAACACGGCGCCATGACGGTGCCTGATGAGTCCGTTGCTGAGAATGCTCGCGATAGGTGCTTACGTCTAATCCAAACCCGCGCCCAAGATATGACGGCACGGCTTATTAAGGGTGATGACTTGAACGACCATGGCGACGTGGTTGATGCAGAATGGATGCTGGCTTCGATTCTCATCATGTGCAACTACGAGAATGCCCGTCGCCGCCTCCAAATCGCCGATGATCACAGACGTGCGGCAAGGACGATTGTCAACCTTTTCAAATGCCAGAGCTCAATCAACAACCGAGATCTGTTTGCGTTCTTGCGAAATCAACTAGCTATAGATGATGTACTGGCAGCTACGACATCGTGTGACCTGCCCCTCATACGCAACGCCGTCACACCAGCACCTGGCTCAGAGCATCTCCTGTTTTCGAGGTATCTGACTTTCTTGCACCGCATCACGCTAGTTTCGGCAGATGCTGTTGATTCTCATCCTTCAATATCGCACTTACGCAGCGGCCTCACGATGCCTCTCATCCAATCCGAGTTTGAGCAGGCAAGAGGCGCCACGTTGATGGCGGCCGGACGACTCGGACTGGCAGGATCAAGCATGTCTCTTGACTTCATACGCTTAGTCGAGGTTTATCATAACGCGGGGCTACTTTACTCGTTAAGGTGCCTCGATTACGCCACCGAGCACGCCTCGGAGCGCATTGTGGCCGTTGCCAGTCTGTTCGACCAACTGACTGGATTCAAGGACCTAGCTGCCTTCGTTCAGAATCTAGCCTGGCCGACGTTCATTGCCGGTACCGAATGCCATGGAGATCGGCATCGACAAGAAATCATTGCGGGTTTTCTCATGAAAATTCATGAGGGCACGCGTTTCAGTTATTACTTGGACGCGGTGAACTTTCTCAAGGAGTTTTGGGCCGGAGAGAATAACGACTGGCGTCCTCTCGCTCGTATGAGAGAAGCCATAGGGCAGCGAGTCCTTGTGGTATGAGCAACATCAACGTCCTTTGAGTAAGGGCGGAAACTTCATTCTGCCCTACCAACTGAGACTGGAGACTACTAGAAATCGACTGTCTCTTCGTCCTCCACACCGAAGAGCACTCGCATCGGGTCCTGATACTTCATGAAACCAACACCCGGCTCGCATAAACCATATCCCAGCAGACGTTGTGCCTGCGGCTTCATCTTCTTCACTCGCTCAAACGGCACCATGAGGAACTGGTTCTCTGCAGGACGCAGTGTCGGCTGACACAGGAAGATGCCGACAGTCTCCCGGTATTCATCCCTATCGATGAGAATTTAGCAAAGAATACCTACTTGCTATACGCCGGCAATGCACTTACGTAGTAACGTTTCCTCCGCCCGCATGGTACAGATTCCCGAGGAAAATCAAGGCGTCGCCGGGCTCAAGTTCAGCTGGAATGGTCTCCTCGTCGAGCGGACGACGTTCGGGACCCCACAGGTGTGAACCCGGAATCACGACAGTCGCGCCGTTCGCTGCCGTTGTTTTCGTCAAGGCGGTGACGCAACCGATCAGGACGGGCATCTGCTTGTCATGGGGATGATAATCACTGCAAGCCTCAGGTCAGAGAATCTCCGCTTCGACATAAAGACGGACGCTCACTTGTCATCACGGTGTAGCACTTGTTGCTTCCCTCCCGGATTCACCCGGAATCCCACTGTCGATGAGATGATGGGCTTCCCGCTGACAGTCTTCTGTTTGTCGCCCCTCCAGAAGGTGAACGATGAAGAGACCATAGCATTCGCGACATCAGTATACAAGCGGTTGCACGCGAGCTCCACACAGGCGTCTGAGATACCCAGTAAGCCGGATGCTCTCTGCGTCGTTGCTGGGAAGAAGCCGTACTTGTCTGGGATGTCTTCGTCAAAGTACGGCTTCAGGTCTCGCTTGATCTCTGCGGTGAGATGGAGATCGATTAACTTCTCCACTATCACGCCGCCATCACGGTTGATGATCTCGACGAGCTTCTCTGTTGTGGTTGATGGATCCGTTGCATCGCATCGGGTAATGGATGGGCGGGAAGTAGCTCCCTCGGGATTCGCCATAATTCAATATTCTTTATTCGTGCTTGCACCAGGCGCTGCTTCTTGCGACCCCATTCCTCTTAGAAAGCGGTCACCCTACTTTATATCCGCCGTCGTTCTAGTCCATCTTGCTAACACCTGCTCTTCCCCTGCTCGTGTCGGGATCAAATATTACGTCTCAGTCGTCATCTCTCTAGGTATTGCCTGTATTCAGTCTGGCTTATCAGGAAACAAGTCCTAAAGTATGCGGAACACCACATCGCATTGAACACGCCGATAGCAATTGAGCTCGTCTCAGAGAAGAGCATTTCGGAGCTGGCCACAATAGCCAGGAACCCTGCACTGTCAAGTTTCTCAAAATAATGCCCTAATTCGGTTAGTGCCCTTGCGCGATGATAAGGTTGCGGAGTCAGACTGGTTGATGGGTCTAGATAGATGAGACGGAAGAAACTCGGCATGAATCGGGTCGCTCAGATCCGGTACCGGCTTGTAGTTACAAAGTTGGTTGAAGAATTCCTTGTGATCCGAGGACTGTTGATTTATCGCGTGGTCACTAGTACAATCCAATAGGAAGACCGGTATCCGCCATTTGTAAAGTCAATTCGCATCGTCAAAGGCATTTGCATGGGACTTTTGCTCGCGAGATTACTCTATTAATTCTTGATCGATCTACTTCCCGAAATTATAGCGACCATAGAAAGCAAAAGGAAACAAGAAACGAGGCCATGCTATGCCATCATCATCAAAAGCCACGCTGCACTCAAAAGGACCAGATTTCGTCCCGAACCCCCTTAGTCAGACGAGACCGCAAACTTGCTCAGCGCCCTAAGTCTACCGCCGTAGAAGTAAAGCAGCCAGATTCCAAGGATACCGATTGTGCTAAGTCCACCCAACAAACTCGTTCCGCGGGCGACACCCAAGTTCTGGTACATGGGGCGGGCGAACAAGATGCTAGCAAAGGCGAAGGCGGAGCGGAAGAAGTCGTTACCGGCAAAGAGACTGGCGGCGTACTGGGGGTAGGACAGTGGGACGTACACAAAGATGCACTGCATCACGACGAAGACGGTGGCGCCGTAGATAGTGATGCCAATGGTGGGTGCGATCCAGTGGATGGCCGGGGATGCGGTCCATGCGAAGATGAAGAGGCCGATGGTGGGGCCGAAGGAGGCGGGGAGAGCGGGTACGAGACGGTTCTCCTGGATGGGGAAGCCGAACTTCTTGATGCGGGGCACCATGTAAAAGGCAAGGTAGGAGACGTAGACGGCGATGCCGAGGAGGCAGGCGACGAGGATGCAGAGGAAGACGAGGCCGATTTCGCCAATGGACATGCCGTAGTAGACTGGGTACACGAGGGGGAACACCTCGAAGAAGGAATAGTAGATGCCGTAGATGATGGCGGTGTAGACCTGGACGAAGAGGATGGCCGGGTCCTTGATTGTGATCTCGAGGGGCTTGATGAGGGCGTCAATGACGACGGCCGAGGTCTTCAGGTTGCGCTGGTCGATTTCGGACTGAGACATGAAGCGATCGTTGCCCGTCAGCTTGCGGAGACGCTGAGCGCGGCGGAGGAGGATGTTGGGCGTCGAGGTCTCGGGGAGGAAGAAGAACATGACGAGGAAAACTGGGGCGGCGGCCCAAAGAATTTCCCAGAGAGACCAGCGCCAGCCCATGGCGGGGACGGAAAAGCCTGACAAGAGGGGCCCAAGAGCTGGACCGCAGTATGCTGCAGACACCTATCGGAAGAGTCAGTATGATGGATGGTATCGTATGATGGGTGTCAAAGTTGAGAATCACTTACCCAAGCAATGAGGGCGTAGGGAAGATTGAGAAGGCTGTACATGTCTCCCAGAGACGCAGCGCCTGATGCCAGACACGGCGAGCCGAAGAGACCCTGCAGGAATCGGAGAACCATCAACCCGGGGAAGTTGCTAGCCAAAGGGGCGGGAATCGACACGATCACGAAGAGGAACATGGTGACGATGTAAATCGGGTTACGGCCAATGCGGGGGATCTCAGAGAGCGGCGAGAAGAGCAGAGGGCCGATACCATAGCCCAAGACAAAGAGCGCCAGACCCAAGGAAACCTCAGTCATGTCGACGCCGAACTCGTGAATGACGCCCTCTATGGAGGGCGTGTAAATCGCTGAAGACATGTAGACGACAAAGGTATAGATACAGATAATGGCAGCGATGAGTCCGCGCTTCGCATTGGACCAGTTTTGCGGGTTCTCAGCATCGTCGCTAAAGTACCAGTCCACCAAGATGGCACCATCTTTGGTCTTTCTCGGTGCGATGGGGATGCTCTTGGTCTTTTGGATCTCGTGGATCTCGTCGACCTCGAGCCGGTCCGCAGTGTATGGGATCGTCTCCTCCCGGCTCCGAGTCCGCTGGAGCGAGGTGCCGTACGGCGCGGCGTCTTCGACTTCTTTCTGTGAAAGCTTATTTTCTTCATCGGCGGCGTGGGTCGATTCGGAGGATCGGGGTGATGCGCCGGCGTCGGCTGGGGTTGCATCTGCCGGGCTGGACTTCTCAGAATTGAGGACGTCAAGCCATTGTTGCGGGAGTTGGAAGCCAGTCTTCTCTTCCGGGTATTGGAGGAACTTGTTCCGTGTGATGAAGCGGATGATTTGGCCCACAGGGGCATCTCGAATTAACTGCGCCATTGAAACGGCTGATGATGATGTGGCTTGAGATTGTGTGATGTATAGAACGTTGATGGCTTTGGGATATTAGAGTACTTGGGGATTAACTTGTGCCTGAAGCGGTCGAGATGTCTTCAGTTGCTAAGGGTATAAGCCTGGAAAGATAAGTGTGTGGATTGACAGGAAAACAGACGATGATGATACCGACATCACGTCTTCTAATATACTGGCCATCATCTCAACCTTTGCCAAGCAGACATTGGCGTCGACAACACTCAAACGCCAAAGAAGCAACATGACTACTAGCCTGATGACCGATCAGGACCAAAATTTGGTCCGTCCACGGCATCGGGCTTACGAGCGATAACTACGATGCGGCGCGACTCTAGCACGTATGGCATTATGAATCACAGCCGGGCTTAAGTTTCTCGAATGCGCCGGAATGAGATAGGCGCGAACCAGCCGTCTGGTGCAGATGGCTATCTCGTTTGAGAGAGAAGAAGGGGGTGGGGGGGCCCGCGGAAGCAGGCGTCGTAAATCTCTGTCTCTCCCTGGGGCATGGTAAGATCTAAACGTGCGTGCCGTGTCAACAGGGTATTGGTTTGTCCGTTCTCGTCCGTTTGGAGTTGGCGCGTCCCCGTCGATTCTGCCGACCAGAGTGATAGGGAGACATGGTGCTAGGGCTGACATGACGTTGAGGGACAACAAGATGGCGTGCCGCAGAGTTGGCGGGCTTTGGAATTAGGAGCTAGAGTCAAGGAGATAGCCTCTGCATACACATCGCGAAAGTACTCGCTGCTAGTGCCAGTCCGTTCCGTGGAGGTGAATGGGAGAAGACGAGCTAGCAGACAATACTCAAGATTATCACTAATCCGCGTCCGGCTTTTGGTCGATTTATCAGCGAGCTCCGGAACCCTTGAATGATCACCGTCCATGCAGCATCTGATTGGCTGCCCGGTCAAGAACCTTAAGTCTAGCTGGATCGAAATTTGAACTGAATGCCATCCCACGGATGATTCAGCCACTTGGTCTGCACGATCCTTGTGTTTGAGATGGCATGTCTTCTCTCCGAGCCACATCCTGACTAATTAATCGATGGCTTTTGCCAAGCCGTTGAAGAGTGCCTTGCAGTCGGCGGCACCAAAGCCTTCGGCAGGGTGCCAGCTTTAATTCCTAATGCACTGCTGAATGGCTTGCGTCGTCTGATGAGACAATGAAAACCAAGTTATGATGATGTAATGGAACAGCGAGTGCTTCTTTAACACAGTGGAGGAGGCTTGTAACGAAGGGATGCTGGTGTTCGC